CTCTAGTTAGTTCTTGAATTACATAAATTGTAATGTGCAATTAGTATCTTCTCTTGATGGAACCAAAATGTGTACTTTGTGATGCTCGACAACTCAAATGCATGTGTGTATTCAGAGGTATGAACAATAATTTTTTTTTTTTTTTGGAATTACATAGAAAAGGAATCTGAATCTAAAGATTACAAGATTTCATGTCTTAGAAACGCGAAAATAAACCCACATTCTTCTAGCGTCCATAGCTATGGTACTCACCATATTCTCTCACAAATGCTACGCTACATTGAAAACAAACCCACATTATTGTAGTGAATGCAATCATCACAAACAAGTCTCAATTTTAGACCGGAAAACAAAAGCAATGAACTTTTTTCCAATTCCAAATCAAACCCATCAAATTTTCAAACAAATCTAGTTTCAGTATGAACCTATTTGTAACAATAGCAACTCATCAACAATCAAAACCCTTGATTCTATAATATCTCAAACTCCTTCAACTCTTTCTTGTTTCCCAACTCTCTCTTCTCTATCTTATCTTTGCTCTTCCTTAATTTCAGTTGTAGCTTTAGCAACTAAGACAATCACTCTGAAACTTTCTCGCTATTTTTGTGATTGCTACTTTCTTCGAGTTCATTTTCAGCTCGTAATTCTTCTTTCTTTGCCTTCTCTGATGACTTGGTAGACCTTCCCGATGGAATCGGCATTGGTGAACTCATCGGTGATCTTTTTTCTAGGGCCACTAGGTTTCGATGGTGACACTGCCGTCTACGATGGTGCTATGGTGGTGGTGGCGTAGTCAAGGACATCGTTTGTGATAACCCCAACGCGTACATTATTTTTTTATATTATTTGTGTGAGTTTAATTGCTTAATTATATGTTTAAGTGTGAATATTTGTTTGTTTATGGAATACCTGTTAGAATTGCCAACTTAGAGACAAAAATTGAGAGCCCTAACAGCTTGATAAATTGAAATTGACTAGCCAAATAGGCTAATTAAAATATTCAAAATTTTATGGCAACTTGAAATTTGATTCGGATCAAAATAATTAGAATAATTGATTAGAATTAATTAGAGTTAAGTGGGATTAATTAGTCTTAAGCAAGCTTAATTAACTTACTCTAATTAAACCGATATATATATGGCTTTAGCTTATGAGTTCATCATTTATATACACATATGAGCTGAAAATATAGAGAGACTTGAGAATTCAACAAGTTCAGAGAGAGAAATGTGAGAATTGTGGAGATTTGTAGAAGGCATGAATAATTGAGCTAGGATTGTACTTGAATTCATCTCTAGGTATAAAATTCATCCTTAAACTTTGAAAATGAAACATATATAAGTTGAATTCATCAAGTTCCTAAGTTCATTTGCATGTAATTGTGTAGAGGAAGCTAAAATTACCATGAATTTGGAAGAATTGAGCATGATTCTATACATGCATGCATGAATCACCAATTTGAGTTTGAATCCATGAAATTTTCCACATGCAAGAAGCTATATTTGACATTTGTGAAGATCTTTCATAGTTCTAACACTTCTTATCTCATACATGGGAGTTTTGAAAAGAAAAAAGTGCAATTAATGTCATGCATGGTTTTAACTTTATAGTTTCAGCTTATATTTGGAATTTGGAGCATGATTTTGAGCAATTGGTTTCAAATTGACTACGTTTTCATGTTCTAAAATGATTTACCATGTTTTTGTACCAACCATGCAAAGTTTGAACCATTAAATTGCAAGTTTGAACTTCAAACATAATTCTGGAAATTCCAGAATTCGAGTAGTTCGCTCGAGCGATAGAAATGTCACTTGAGCGTACATTTCAAGCTCCTACTAGTTTTACAGACAAGTGTGCGCTCGAGCGAATCCACTTTTACTCAGTACTTGGCTTGAGCGACTACAGAGCGACCGTCGAGCGTGAAAATCGAGCATCCAGTACTTTTGCAGTCTTTACAGACGGCTCGAGCGATAAAGTGTGCACTCAAGCGAACCCTTTGCATATTGATGGACCGCTCGAGCGATAAAGTGTGTGCTCAAGCGAACACCCTATTTTCAGCAACTTTTAAAAAGCTTTCATAAGTGCATCATTTCATCTTCATTCTTATTAGAGCATTCGTAGACATTGATTAAGACATCAATAATAAGGAATTGATGTAGAAACATACAAGAAGTGAATTGAATTGAGATTAAACATTACATCGAAATGGAACCTCAATGTGTTTTTGTTATGTATTTTATGTAGGTGGACGTCTGAGGCATAGCGTCGATTTAAACCACTGTGAGTAGTAACTTTATAGAAATATGTTCAAATTATATTTACTTTCGAAATTGTTATATGATTGGTTTGTTGGAATGTTGTTTTCCTTTAATGAATGAAGTTTTTCTTTGAGTTATGTTCGTGACATCCAATAGTAAGGCCCTTGCCTAGGGCAAACAATACCATGGCCCATTGATTAATTGGCCCTTGCCTGGAGGAAACAATACCATGGCCCAATGGCCCTTACCTAAGGTACACAATGTCATGGCCCATTAGATATTGAAACATAGAGATCTCTGATGTTAGACCTTCGTGGTCACATTGACTATGGAACATTAACTGACCCTCATGGTCCCATTGATCGATCCTCGTGGTCCTATTGATCGACCTTTGTGGTCCCATTGATATCGAAATATTGTTACTCTATTGGATGTATCATTTGAAAAAACGGTTGTTCTTGTGTTATTATTGGATCATTGTGAATTGAATTGAAATGGGAATTATATTAAAACATTATCAAACTTCATTCATTTACCTCCTTTATTATGTTATTACTTACTAGGCCTTAGCTCACTATTTATATGTATATGTAGGTGAGCAAACTGAGCATCAAGGATAGAGAAGCCTCAAAGTCTACCCCTGTGTCAGCCATTTTGAAAGCTCCCTAGTTGGAGTAAGCTTAGGCTTGAATGGATCCAAGCAAGTCAAAACCTCTATTGTGATGCATTTTTTATTTTTTATTTTTGTTTTGTTATTTGGGGGTTATTTTTGAACTTAAAACTATGGGCGTTTGACTTATGTACTACGTACTAAAGATTTACCGTGTTGTATGAATGTACATATGTCAAAGTGGCTACACAGCTATTATATGAGGTTTGTAATGTATGCACAGCTCAATGGTTCATCTTTATATTTCATATTGCTTCCGTTAAGCCTTGTAAATTATATTGACATTGATTTTGTTTATTGAGATCGTAGGTAATCTCAGGATTATTGGCCGGTCATGATGCTAAACCTATAGAGGCAGGTTTGTGTCGTGACAGATATCAGAGCACAAGTTACATCTCACTCACTTTGCCATTGAGCTATAGGGCGTCTAGAAAAGGCTTAAGAATTGCATTCTTGTACATAATTGAATATATGAATTTGTGTGTGTGAGTATATTGTGTTTGTTATAATATAAAGTTTCATATAAAAAATGGTGAGAACAAGAGGTGATGAGCTAAAGGAATCAACATCCTCAAGGTTGGACAAGATGGAAAGGATGATACACGGCATGGCCGAGAACCTAAGGAGACAACAACAACAACCGCCACCCCCACCACCAATGCCTATGCCACCTCCAATACCAGGGTGTCAGACTGGTGATTTTACTATTGCATTGATTAAGGAATTCAAGAAGATTAAAACGGCCCTTGTTTCATGGGCGGATGGAACCACTTAAAATTAAAGCCTGGGTACTTGGAATAGAAAAACTATTTGAGGTGTTTTCTTGTACTGAGACTTAGAAAGTCTTGTTAGCTGCATTCACCTTAGAAGATGAAGCAAGGCGTTGGTGGATGTTAGTGAGTGAAGAAAATAGAGATATCAACTAGACTCGATTCCTAGAAATTTTCTACGAGAAGTACTTTTTTCAGTGTATCAAAGATAGAAAAGTGTCAGAGTTTGAACAGTTAAAGCAAGGAAATAAGTCAGTTTGAATAGAGTTTGCGCCACACATGACAGACACCAACTACAAAAAGCAAGGAAGTTTGAGGGGGGCCTACGTGATTCAATCCTGGAGAAGGTTAATGTGCTCAAATTGCCAAAATATGTGGATGTACTAGATAGGGCATTGACGTCATAAACAAACATGGCCAACTGTAATAAGAAGTTTGAATGGAGAGGCAAAAGACAGAATTTTAATAAGGGAACAACGTCAACAAACAAGAAGTCAAAGTCTGGGGCTTCTAGTAACTTCGATCAAACCAAAGTGGCAACTCAATACCTACTTGCGTTGTGTGCGGAAATAGGCACCGAGGTGTTTGTTATCATATTATAGGGCCCTGCAATCAGTGTGGAAAAGTCGATCATATGGAAAAAGATAGTACACAGCCACGTCAGGGTGGTAACCGATATACTACTAGTTCTATCGAGTCTATTCCAACAGCGAATCCAACCGCAACATTGCCCACAACAAGAAATGATTTGAGACAAGGAAGAGTTTTTGCTCTTGTACCGAGGGATACTCAAAGCACGAAGGCAGTAATGTCAGGTATAATTTCTGTTTGTGATTAGCCTGCATGTCTTAATTGATTCAGGGTCTACACATTCTTTTGTTTCTATGGTGTTTGACGAAACTATGAATTGACCAATGGAAACATTGAGATATATATTGTCTGTTGCATCACTTATGGGGGGGATCTATGTTATGTTCATCTGTATATTTTGTATGTGAATTATTAATCGGGAATGCTATTTTGTATGCTGATTTAATACATTTAGACATGAAACATTTTGATGTTATTTTGGGTATGGATTAGCTATCTAAATACCATGCAACCATTGATTATGCTTTAAAACGAGTGATATTTTGACCCCCCAGACAGGATGAATTTTATTTTGAGGGAAAGGGTGTAGTTCCACCACCATATCTTATATCTGTTATGAAAGCTTGAAAATTGATTAGTAAGGATTGTCAAGGGTATTTATGTAGTGTAATGATCAAACAAACCATGAAAATTACCCTAGACAGTATACCAATGGTGAAGGACTTTCCTGATGTATTTCCGAATGAGTTACTCGAACAATTAGTCGATAGGGAGATTGAATTTACAATTGATGTAATACCAGGTACACAACCAATATCTAAAACTCCCTATCTTATGCCTGCTACATAAATGAAAGAATTGAAAATTCAGTTGTAGGAATTGCTTGACAAAGGGTTTTTTCGCCCGAGTACATCGTTGTGGGGTGCACCACTCCTTTTTGTGAAAAAGAAAGATGGTACTCTTCGTCTATGTATCGACTATTGGGAACTCAATAAGGTAACCATGAAGAATAAATATTTGTTGTCTCGTATTGACGATTTATTTGATCAGTTGCAGGGGGTCATATTTTCAAAAATTGACTTGAGATCGGGATATCATCAGTTGAAGGTAAGGGCTAAAGATATTGAAAAGATTGCCTTCCGAACCAGGTACGGACACTATGAGTTTTTAGTCATGTCTTTCGGAGTTAGAAATGCGCCCGCAGCATTCATAAATTTGATGAATATGATTTTTAAACCCTTTTTAGATGAATTCATTGTTGTGTTTATTGATGACATTTTAATCTATTCGCAAAGTAGAAATGACCATAAACAACACTTGATAATGACCCTTCAGACACTTAGAGAAAAACAATTGTATGGGAAATTCAAAAAGTGTGAATTCTAGTTAGATAAGATTGCATTTTTGGGGCATGTCATCGATAAAAATGGTATCTCTGTTGACCCTCAAAAGATAGAAGCAATTATTGATTGGCCTACCCCGACTAACGTGACTGAGGTCCGTAGTTTTATAAGATTAGCAGGTTATTATCGGAGATTTCTTAAAGACTTCTCAAAAAATTACTGTACCGTTGGCCTAATTGACTCGAAAATAGGAACCATTTGTGTAGACAGAACAGAGGGAATCAACTTTTTGAGAACTGAAAATAAGATTGACCACAGCTCCAATCCTTACTGTACCCTCAAGTACTAAAGGATTTGTATGCGATGCATTTTATAAGGGTCTGGGTTGTGTTTTAATGCAGAATGGCGCAGTGATTGCATATGCCTCTCGACAGTTGAGATCACATGAGAAGAATTACCCAACACACGACTTGGAGCTTACCGCAGTTGTGTTTGCATTAGAAATATGGTGACATTACTTTTATGGGGCTAAATGTGAAGTATACACAGATCATAAAAGCATGAAGTACTTTTTTACGCAAAAGGAATTAAACATGAGTAAGAGGTAATGGCCTAAATTAATCAAAAACTATGATCTACAAATTCATTACCACCCCAGCAAGGCTAATACTGTGACAGATGCACTTAGCAGAAAGAATGTGGGAGGTCTAGCCTATTTACTTACAGATCAAAAAGAGCTTCCACAAGAATTTGAAAAGCGTGAAGTATAAATGGTGCCTTTTGAACAAAATGGTTTAATAGCCGCAATGTCCACAAAAACGACAATTATCAAAGAGATCAAACAAAAGCAAATGAATGATAAGTTTCTGAAGAAGATTTGCGATGAGTTTGAAGCTAAACCTAAACCAGAATTCACAATTGAAGACTCAGTATTAAAATTTCAAGGGAGACTTTGTGTTCCTAATGATACAGAACTAAAAAGAAGAATTCTAGAAGAAACTCATAAGTCAATGTTTGCTATGCACCCGGGGAATACCAAAATGTATCAAGATTTGAAGTTAGTATATTGGTGGCCCAATATGAAAAAAGAAATTGCCAAATTCAACTCCAAATGCTTATAGTGTTAACAAGTAAAAGCGGAGCATCAAAAATCGGTTGGCTTGCCTTAGTCCCTCCCTATTCTAGAATGGAAATAAGAACACATAACCATCGACTTCATCATCAGTCTACCTCGAACATCTAGAGGTATGAATGCTATTTGGGTTATAGTTGATAGGTTAACAAAGTCTGCTCATTTTCTTGTTGTGAAAACCTCATTTAATGCCTATAGACTTGCCACCATTTACATCGATGAGATTATCCATTCACATGGGGTTCCAATGTCTATTGTATTAGATAGGGATCCTAAATTTGTTTCTAGATTTTGGCATAGTCTATAGAGTATAATGGGAACAGAGTTAAGGTTCAGCACAGTTTTTCATCCGCAAACTGACAGACAAACAGAGAGAACTATTCAGACTTTAGAGGACATGCTTCATATATGTGTGTTGGAATTTCAAGGTAGCTAGAAAATGTATTTGACATTAGCCGAATTTACTTATAATAACAGTTTCCACATTAGCATTGGTAATGGTGCCATATGAGGCACTATATGGTGGAAACTGTAGATCTCTAGTTTGTTGGACTGAGGATGGTGATAGGGCTATATATGGGACAAAACTTGTGCAGCAAACAACTAAAAAGATAAAGATCGTTCAACAACGGCTCAAAACTGTACAAAGCCGACAGAAGAGTTGTGTGGATCAGCGAAAAAGAGATTTAGAGTATGAAATAGGGGATCATGTATTTATCAAAGTAACACCGATGAAAGGGCAAACAAGATTCGATAAAAAAGGGAAATCGACTCCTCGTTACATTGGACAGTTCCAAATCGTTGAAACATTGGGTCCTATTGCTTACCAAATTGCCTTACCACTGGGAATGGAACAAATAGACAACGTATTTCATGTGTCTATGCTTCGAGGCTACCTTAGAGATCCATTTCATGTAATTAATTATCACCTAATTGCTTTAGATGGAGATATGACCTATGAAGAATGGTCGGTGCAGATTATTAACCGACAGGTGAAACAGTTGAGAAATAGATCGATTCTAATGGTCACCGTAGAATGGAGGGAACATTATAGGAAGGAAGCCACTTGGGAAAAAGAAGATGAGATGTGACAACGATACCTGCATTTGTTTCCATACAAAGGTAACTTAAGTTTAGAAAACCAAACTTTCTAAGGGGGAGAGACTGTGACGACCCCAACGCGTACATTATTTTTTTTATATTATTTGTGTGAGTTTAATTTCTTAATTATATGTTTAAATGTGAATATATGTTTGTTTATGGAATACCTATTAGAATGGTCGACATAGAGACAGAAATTGACTAGCCCAATAGGCTAATTGGAATATTTAGAATTTTATGGCAACTTGATATTTGATTAGAATTAATTAGAGTTAAGTGGGATTAATTAGTCCTAAGCAAGCTTAATTAACTTAAACAAATTAAACCTATATATATATATATATATATTGCTTTAGCTTATGAGTTCATCATTTATATACACATATGAGCTGAAAATAGAGAGAGACTTGAGAATTCAACAAGTTTAGAGAGAGAAATGTGAGAATTGTGGAGATTTGTAGAAGGCTTGAAGAATTGAGTTAGGATTGCACTTGAATTCAACTCTAAGCATGAAATTCATCCTTAAACTTTGAAAATGAAACATATAGAAGTTGAATTCATCACGTTCATAGTTTTTGAAAATCTTTCATAGTTTTAACACTTCTCATCTCATACATTGAAGTTATGAAAAGAAAATAGTGCAATTAATGTCATGCATGGTTTTAACTTTATAGTTTAAGCTTAAATTTTGAATTTGGAGCATGACTTTGAGCAATTGGTTTCAAATTGACTATGTTTTCATGTTCTAAAATTATTTGCCATGTTTTTGTACCAACCATGCAAAGTTCGAACTATTAAATTGCAAGTTTGAACTCCAAACATAATTCTGGAGATTCCAGAATTCAAGAAGTTTGCTTGAGCGATGGAAGTGTCGCTCGAACGTACATTTCAAGCTCCTAGTAGTTTTACAGACAATTGTACAATGGCTCGAGTGACCAAGTGTGCACTCGAGCAAACCCACTTTTACTTAGTACTTGGCTCGAGCGACTATCGAGCGACCGTCAAGCTTGAAAATTGAGCATCCAGTACTTTTGCAGTCTTTACAAACGGCACAAGCAACAAAGTGTGCACTCTAGTGAACCCTTTGCATATTGATAGACCGCTTGAACGACAAAGTGTGCGCTCGAGCAAACACCCTGTTTTCAGCAACTTTCAAAAAGCGTTCATAAGTGCACCATTGCATCCTCATACTTATTAGAGCATTCTTAGACATTGATTACGACATCAACAATAAGGAATTGATGTAGAAACATACAAGATATGAATTGAATTGAGATTAAACGTTACATTGAAACGAAACCTCAATGTGTTTTTACTATGTATTTTGTATAGGTGGACGTTCGAGGCATAGCGTCAATTTAACCCATTGTGAGTAGTAACTTTATAAAGATATGTTCAAAATATATTTACTTTCGAAATTGTTATATGATTTGGTTTATTGGAATGTTGATTTCCTTTAATGAAAGAAGTTCTTCTTTGAAATATGTTCGTGGTATCCAATAGTGAGGCCCTTGCCTAGGGGAAACAATATCATGGCCCATTAGCCCTCGCCTAGGGGAAACAATACTGTGGCCTATTGGATAATTGAAATATAGAGATCTCTGATGTTAGACCTTTGTGGTCACATTGACTATGGAACATTGATTGACCCTTGTGGTCCCATTGATCGACCCTCGTGGTCCCATAGATCGACCTTGGTGGTCTCATTGATATTGAAATATTGTTACTTTATTGGATGTATCATTTGAAAAGACGATTGTTATTGTGTTATTATTGGATCATTGTGAATTAAATTGAAATGGAAATTGTATTGAAATATTATCGAACTTCCTTCATTTACCTCATTTATTTTGTATTACTCACTGAGCCATAACTCACTATTTATATGTATACATAGGTGAACAAACTGAGCATTAAGGATAGAGAAGCCTCTGAGTCTACCCTTGTGTCAGTCGTTTTGAAAGCTCCCTAGTTAGAGCAAGCTTAGGCTTGAGTGGAGTCACAAGTCAAAACCCCTATTGTGAAACACTTTTTATTTTTTATTTTTGTATTGTTATTTGGGGGGATATTTTTGAACTTAAAACTATGGACGTTTAACTTATGTACTACGTGCTAAAGATTTACCGTGTTGTATGAATGTACATATGTTAGAGTGGCTGCTGTATAAGGTTTTTCATGTTTACACAGCTCAATGGTTCATCTTTATGTTTTATATTATTTCCACTAAGCCCCGTAAATTATATTGACATTGATTTTGTCTATTAAGGCCGTAGGTAATCTCAGGATTGCTGGCCGGTCATGATGCTAAACCTATAAGGGCGGGTTTAGATTATGACATGGTTAAAGAGAAAGCCCTTAAGGGAAATGCGGTGGGGAGAGGCATGCAAAAAAGGCTTTGGGTGTAGATTTGGAAAGAGAGCGATGTAAGAATGATCAAAGAGAAAAAAAGTCAAAAGCCTTCTTGAAGCCATGGTTTTTTAGTTAGAGAGAGAGAGAGAGAGAGAGAGAGAGAGAGAAAAAACTAGGGTTTGTCTGTATGACTCTCTCAGTTTGTTTAATTTGGACAAATAAGAAAAAAATAGTAAGACAGATAGCCAAAAATACTAGAACATATAGATTCAATATGTACAAATAAGCAAAAATATTAGGACCAACAAGTAAAAAAAAATAGGACTAATAGATTCAATTTGAACAGATAAAAAAAAACTAGCACAAATAGGTAAAATAATTTGGATAGATAGGTTCAAAAAATTGAAAATAAAATTTGTACAAAAAAATTTCTTAAACCCTTAATACATGGACTTTTCACCAATAAATGTCCTTATGTCGCCAACAAAACCACCCTTCTCAATGAGTTATACGGATGGGCATGAGGATTTATCAAGGATTATCTCTATAATATATCATCTATTTTTTTCAATATGATAAAATTAAAACCCAAAATATTATACATAGCATTCATTTTCATTAATTGATTTGTCATATTACATCATTTAACTTTTATTAATTATAAATTCCTATTATAAACTATATTATCTATAATTTTTATTAATATTTTTATTTTTTAAGTTATAAAATTAATTCGCCTCCGCTCCAATCCTAACCCACCCTCGCCACCAACCCAATTTACCCCACTCCCTACGTTTAAGTGTAATAAATGAAAAAATAAAATTAATATTGTAACCAATATGTTTGCCCTCTCGACATTAAATTTCTGGCTCCGTTACTTAATAATGATCTATAAAAAAAAAAAAATACAATTGATAAGTAAGATTACACTCAATTATAATAAAATTCACATTTAAAATAAATCTCAACTATTCAATATATTTTTTTGTCATTTATTCTATATTTCTATTATGTGTTCTTAGTGATAAGTTTTGGACCATGCTTTGGGAGGTCCCAAAACACAAACTATATGATTACTATAAGTAACCGACCATGGACCCATCACACAAATCCTTATTGGGAATAAAAAGGACATGACCTAATCACCCCCAATAGATAATTTAACCTCAACCACCTTTAATTTATACATGTCATCCAAAGTTTTGTTCTATGTTGGTGTGTCATCTCTCTCATTGCATAAGCATCTCAAAAATGTTAGAATATATAACTAATCTTTGTTCTTTTTTTTTCTCCTAAGGGGACAACCATAATTTTTAAATACCATTAATTATATGTTAGTATCAAAGTGACTTTTGTGTGATAACTTTCCTAAACCATTTGTGAACATTTTATGCACCATAGACATAAAAAGCTGACTATAAGGCAGATAATAATTATTATTAAATATTAAATAATTTTTTATTAATATAATTATACCGTCTTTAATACTAGGAGCCTTTGGATCATCAACATTTTTATTTTGTTGAACATTTAAATAAATATTTTTTGTTATATCTTTGAATGATATGTTTTTATTCAGTCTTTGTTATACCTAAAAATTAATATTATTTTTTATTTAGCAAGATCTCTGGATAGTATTAATTTTAATTTTGGTGGGTGTTTGGTTGAATTTTTTTTTAATTTCTTATTAGACATTTGGATGATGAATTGGTTATTTGAGATGTTCTAAATAAGTGTACTTTTTGACTTTTTATAAAGCCTCCGTTTGGAAAGTGTGTTGGCTTTTTGGCTTTTTGACTTTTTTGGCTATTTTAGCCTAAGCTAAAAAGTTTAGTTTGGGAAGGATTTTTTGACAGAAGAATGTAATGATTATGGGTTGGATGTGATATTTTATTTTTTGTGGCTAAAATAGCCTATTTTGTCTTTTGTGGCTAAAATAGCCAAAAAAGTCCCGTTTAGCTCTTGCCAAACAGAGCTAAAAAGATGTATAGAAAAGTAGAGAGGAGGTGTTGATTGATGTGATCCAAAAAAAATAAAAAGATAAAAAGTGTGAACTTATTTAATCTTTCCAAACTAAGCCTATTAGACCTATGAAAAAGAAGTCTTTATTTTGCAAGGAATTTAAATTTATTTTTTTCTATAACCTTTTGGATAGAGAGAATATTTTGTTATTAATGTTTTGACTAGGAAATTTTAATTTTATTTTACTTGGCCTTTAATCAAGGATTTTTTTTTTATTTATTTATTTTTTGTTGAAACTTTCAACAATCAAAAAAAAAATTAAGAAGATTTTCTTAGGTAAGAAAAAAATACAGTCGGGTTGCCCTTTTCAACAATATGATATGGTTCAATGATTATGATTTGATATACGGAAGGAAGCATTGTCAAACTGGCATTATATGATGATGTATGGATGATGTGAAAGGCACATGGATAATAGTTCCAGATTAATAGTGGAGACTGACATTTTTATCATGCCATTATTTATCAGTTTTTCCAAAATTTAAATCCGTTTGGTGGAATTTTTAAAATATATTTTTATATTTATTTTGTAGTGTGATGTTTATTTAGTATTTTTAAAAATTAATTTTATATTAATTTTTAAAAACTCTTTTCAAGGTGATAAAATTTGGACTAATCA